CTGACAACTTATTACTGACAACTTATTACTGATAACTAATTACTGATAACTAATTACTGATAACTAATTACTGATAACTTATTACTGATAACTAATTACTGATAACTTATTACTGATAACCAATTACTGATAACCAATTACTGACAACTTATTACTGACAACTTATTACTGACAACTTATGACTGATAACTAATTACTGACAACATTACTGACAACCAATTACTGATAACTTATTACTGATAACTAATTACTGACAACTTATTACTGACAACTTCTTACTGACAACTTATGACTGATAACTAATTACTGACAACTTATTACTGACAACTTATTACTGATAACTAATTACTGATAACTAATTACTGATAACTAATTACTGACAACTTATTACTGACAACTTATTACTGACAACTTATGACTGATAACTTATTACTGACAACTTATTACTGACAACTTATTACTGATAACTAATTACTGATAACTAATTACTGATAACTAATTACTGATAACTTATTACTGATAACTTATTACTGACAACTTATTACTGACAACTTATTACTGATAACTTGTTACTGATAACTTGTTACTGATAACTAATTACTGATAACTTGTTACTGATAACTTGTTACTGATAACTAATTACTGATAACTTATTACTGATAACTTATTACTGATAACTTATTACTGATAACTAATTACTGATAACTAATTACTGATAACTTGTTACTGATAACTTGTTACTGATAACTTGTTACTAATAACTTGTTACTGATAACTTATTACTGATAACTTATTACTGATAACTAATTACTGATAACTTATTACTGATAACTAATTACTGATTACTAGTTACTGATTACTAGTTACTGATAACTTATTACTGATAACTTATTACTGATAACTAGTTACTGATAACTAGTTACTGATAACTAGTTACTGATAACTTATTACTGATAACTTATTACTGATAACTAGTTACTGATAACTAGTTACTGATAACTAATTACTGATAACGTATTACTGATAACTAATTACTGATAACTTATTACTGATAACTTATTATTGATAATTAGTTACTGATAACTAATTACTGATAACTAGTTACTGATAACTTGTTACTGATGTTAGTTGTGAACAACAAACTAATTTTAATGATTTTTAATAAATACCAGTGATCGCTGCTCAGACTGGGCGGGGCCGTCCAGTCCTTTAAGGGATGCTGGGGATTCCAATAAGCTCCGCCCCTCACCCAGTTCAACACTGTCTCCACAGCAACTGCTGACAGGTGCAGCATGGGGGCAGGGCTAAATGGGGCGTGGCTTAGCCAGAGGTTAAAAACCCTGTGATTGGAGGAGAACTGAGGGATGGTGTCAGAGGAATGCCATTGGCCAGAGAAGACAGGAAAGAGTCCTGGCTCTTGGTTGAAGGTAGGAGAAATCCCATCGGTGTGAAGGAGCAGCAAGGCATTCTGGGAGAAGGAGCTGGAAATACAAAGACATCCTATCACATCCTTTCAAATCCACCGGGACAGTAAATGTCTTCATCACATCAACTCAACCAACTCACCTGTAACCATTCACCCTGGTGTACAGGCTGATGGCCTCTGATTGGCTGGCTCCTCCCTCTTCTTTTCTTCTGCGCTTCTTTGGACTGTGGTCTTGCAGAACGAGACACTCCTCTTTCTCAGAAGCTCCTCCTCTTCCTCCTCTTCCTCTGAAGGAGACTGCCATCTGCCCTACAAACCTCCCACCTTCATCCTCCTCTGTGAAGTCTTTGAAAAAGTTAACCCTCTTGTAGTCCTTTCTCCTCCTCCTCTTCCTCTGCTCTGATTGGCTAAAACATACAGGTGACTGGTCAGTGGACGATGATGAGGTTCTGACAAGTGGTGGAGGGGCAGAGCTACAGGTCAGAACAGGTGAACCTGAGGGAGCAACACAACCGTTTGAAAAGAAACTAAATCTAAACAATTTATTTTAGATTTACTATTTGTCTGCTCTGAAAGTCAGACTCCTGAGCCTGACTTAAGTTAACTTCAGGTTTAGGTTCAGTTCTGACTCAGTCATCCTGAAACCAGTCTGAATGCTAAGTGGAAGCAAATCATACCTAAATATTCATGAGCTACGTCTTCATCAAACGCTGCAGTGTGTTACAAAAACACATCAGTGTGTCCATAAAAAGCCAGGAAGAGAAGTGTGAAGATCAGGTGTGAACATGGAGACCACCAGGTGTCACTAGTACAGTTAGACATGTTTCAGTCAGTGGGAGGAGACAACTCTACATCAAGGTGTGCAGAATTATTAGGCAGCTTCTTTCCTCAGGCTGAATGGGTCAAAAAGGAGATTTAAGAGACTCTGAAAGTCCAAAATGATAAAAAGTCCTTCAGAGGGACCATGCAGCACTCTTGAAATAGCTAAGATATTGGTACGTGATCACAGAACCGTTGAAGGTTTTGCTGCTAATAGTCAACAGGCTCACAGGAAACGTGTTGAGAAAAAAAGGACACTAATTAACCTCCAAAGATTTGAGAAGAAAGAAAGGTGAAGCTAGCAGGAAGCCAGTGTCCTACCTGCAGGGACCAGCAGGACCAGGTGTTCAGTGCTCAGAGACATGGTCAAGGTAAGGGAGGCTGAAACCGGACCACCACTGAACAAGACACGAGTTGAAACACCAAGACCGGGACAACAAAGATCTGAAGACAGATTGTTCAAACGGACCCGTGGCTGGATCAGTACCGGGCACAACAAGGTGGAGGTGGGTACTGGTATGAGCTGGGATTATTAAAGATGAGCTAGTTGGACCTTTGGGTTGAAGATGGACTCAAAATCATCTCCCACACCTGCTGCCAGTTTTTAGAAGAGCCTTTCTTCAAGCAGGAACAAGTCTGCCTCTTCCAGGAAGAGCCTGATTTTCTGCAGGACAACGCTCCATCATGGTGGTCCTCCACCTTAAAGACTAAAGAATGACGGGTCCCTTCCTCACCTGACCTAACCCCTGCTGAGAAACAGGACGTTCCCAGTGAAGGAAACCAGTCCAGCTCTGAACAGTGTCTGGGAGGCTGTGGTTCATCATCAACACATCAGTTCACTGATGAATGGAGGCTTCCAGCTGGSTTTGAAAAGGAGGGGAGATATTCTGATCACTGAGTTTTCTTTTTAAATGTCAGAAAGGTTTGATTGGAAATGTTGAACTGTTCATTGTTCTCACTTTAATGGATGGAGAGGTGGGAACATTTGTCATTAGTTACATAATAATTCTGGACAACCTCTCCTTTTTACTTTAAATGTCAGGTTTGATAACGGTTTGGACTGACTGACAGCTCTGTGGTGGTCCAACAATAAAACCAGCCCTCACAGCTACAACCTGTCTGATGCTTGTGCACAGTCTGTGGTAGACGTCAGTGGGAAAACTGGATGTTTTCCCTTCTTTCACAACGCTGGACCAGTACCTGATACAGGAAGTGTGATGTCATGTGGGGGCTAACTCACCTCCTCCTCCTTTCTTCCTCCTCCTCCTCCTCACCACGCTCTTCCTCTCCAGGGAGTCCAGACGACGGCCAAGAGAGGCCAGAGCTCCTCGCAGGAGGCGGCGCACCTCCAGCCGGTGGGCAGACAGGAGGCGAGGGAGGAGGGAGGCGCAGGAGCAGRAGGAAGCTGGAGGGGGGGCAGGGGGAGGAGCTGACAAAAGCCCTGCAAAAAGACACAAACTCTTCATTACTCCAAAGTCAAACCAGTCTATTAATCCAACAGACCACAGCTACTTTCTTTATACTGGAACAAGCATCCAACATACAGGAAGTCAACAACAGTCACAGAGCAGCAGCACAACACAAAACTACAACTAAAAACACACAAACTGTTCAAATCCATTAAAACCTTCAACTAAAAGTCTTCATCTCAGATTATATCAAAAGCCAAGGACAAGAGATGGTTTTTCCTCTTTTCTTTTCTTTCTCTTTCTTTATTTAATGTCAACCTGTCCTCCTGAGCTGCAGCACGTCCCACAGTTTGATGACAGCCTGTCTGATGGACACCAGCCCCTCCCTCAGCGTTCTGTGATGCTCAGGAGCAGCTGCACCTAAAACAACCGGAGAGCTGCAGCAGCTAGGGTGGGAAAAGACCATTTCTTTCTTTAAAAACAAATAAAGAACTTTAAAATGAACCCTAATGTTCAGACCACCACTGCAGCCAGCCTGAAACAGGAAGTGGGCTCAGGCTCTCAGGTGCCAGTGAAAGATGGGCAGCAGCATTTTGGACCCTCTGGAGTGAAGGACACAGGAAGTACTCACCCCTTTATAAAGTCCAGTACAGTGATGAAGGATCACAGGCTTGACTTGAACCAGCTGACCCACCTTGACCCCCAGTTTGTTATGACTGCTGGAGTCAAGGAATGTAGACCCACCAGAGGAGGTGCCAGAAAACATCTGCTTCTCGTTCAAGTGCAGAAAACTGAAAACCACCCAGGCCTTCAAGTCCTCAAGACATTTTAGCAGTGCTTCAGTGGAGAATGAGTCTTTTCTCTTGAGGGGGACAGAAACCTCGCAGTCATCTTGTGTGCTTTCTAAAAATAGACCCAAAGTAAAAGCAAATAAAGACAAAAAGAGGGGTCTTAAGACTGAACCCTGTGGGACTCCAAGAGAGGAGCAGAGGACACCTTATCTATAAAAAGTGAAGAAAATCCTCCCCAGCAGCAGGAGATGGCTTCATACAGTCKGTGTGTGGAGCCTTTAGACCAGCATCAATGGTTTTAAACCCTTCAGTGGTCACCTGGATTTAACTAAGCAAACAGGTACGAGTCTCCTGTTGGATAATTACTGCATGAGTGATTACCTGTCAGCAGGTTATTTAACCCTAACTGGTCAAAGACTTCTTAAACAGCCGTGTGGAAAGACACATCCTGTGGTCGTGGAAAACATGTCAGACTGTTTGAGAAGCTTCAAACCTTTGGAAAACCAGAAAACTGAATGAGCAGGTGCTTCCATCAACGATTGTTTCTTCCCTGGTGGAACAGACAGATTACAAGAGGACAAGGCCACGATTCACGGGGCTCTTATTGTGAAAGAGTTCAGGGAGAATGACATCATTCTCACACATGGACTGTCTCCACAGAGTCACTGAGAATCTTCAGGACGTGCTGCAGAAGGTCAGAGCCATCATCAGTGCAACACTGGATGAAATAAATCTGCTGACACTGCAGAACATAAACAATGCCACAGAGAATGTGTGAGGTCACCACAGCTAAAGGTCCAACAAATATTAGTGACCTTTTTATTGACCAGGCTGTGTACTTTTAAACGTGAAATATTCACTCCAACCGAGGACTGCACGGCGCTGAGTTCTCTTTTCTGTTCAGTTCCAAATGTTCCCACACTTCTGACATTGTCTGTTGTTCTCTGGCTCTTTGTCTCCCTCCACAGGTAAACATAGCACTTAGCATACACACGTAAAACTGTAGCCAAGGGCTAGCATTGTGCAATACAAATAACATTCTGTCCAGGCACAAAGTGCCCTGAAGAGTTTATCAGCTTCTAATTTTAAAGAAGCTGTGAGGCAGATAATCTGCCTCGAGGGTTTTTAGTAATCTAATTACTTGAATTGTTTGAGGAATTAGCTCAGCCCTAACTTACAGTCAATAACTCATTTAAAATATGAAAGAGTCGTCTAACACTGGTCACACAGACAGACACAGATAAACACCTGCATGATTCAAGTCTTCATCAGCCAATGGGAGGATAGGGGGCGGAGACTTGACCTCCAGGTCCCGCCTCTTATTGTCTGTCTCTGCTACRGCCAGAGGACGAGACAGCATCACAAAGTCTGGAAGACAAAAACAAGAGAGACATTTCAGCTGCTGCTCATCAGTCACAATAAACTGTTAGCTTAGGTTAGGGTTAGCTTAGGTTAGGTTAGGTTAGGTTAGTTTAGCTTAGGTTAGGGTTAGCTTAGGTTAGGTTAGCTTAGGTTAGGTTAGTTTAGGTTAGGGTTAGCTTAGGTTAGGTTAGCTTAGGTTAGGTTAGTTTAGGTTAGGGTTAGCTTAGGTTAGGTTAGCTTAGGTTAGGTTAGGTTAGTTTAGGTTAGCTTAGGTTAGGTTAGCTTAGGTTAGCTTGGTTAGGTTAGGTTAGCTTAGGTTAGCTTAGGTTAAGGGTTAGGTTAGCTTAGGTTAGGTTAGACCAAATTAAACCTAACTACATTATTTTACAGTCAAAACACATAAACTAAAGACGAACACAGATAGGAAGTGAGAGGACTGAGAACTAATTTTTACTAACAGTCAGGGTTAGTTCATTAGTCCAGGATAACTGTTAGCCTGGTTTAGATGAACTAATCCTGACTGTTAGCCTGGTTTAGATGAACTAATCCTGACTGTTAGCCTGGTTTAGATGAACTAATCCTGACTGTTAGCCTGGTTTAGATGAACTAATCCTGACTGTTAACCTGGTTTAGATGAACTAATCCTGACTGTC